AAAGTGCCTAAGTCACAAAAGACAAGAAAACACCGAGGAACTGTCACAAATTGGAGGAGACTGAAGAGAAATAACAAGTAAATGCACTGTGGGGTCTTGACCTTGGACTAGATAGACATCAGTGGGAAGGACTATAGTTTAATTACTAGTTTGTGTCATGTTAATTTCCTGGTTTTGATAATTGTACTAAGGTTATATATGATGTTAACATTAGGAGACACTGGATGAAGAACTGTTTTGCAACTTTTTTTTATAAATCAAAATTTATTTCAAAATAAAAACAAAAACCTCTCTCTACTTGGGAGTTTCTCAAAGTATTTCCTTTTGCTTTTCAGAAGCACAAGTAACAATCTAGACATTTACTTTTACTTTGGTGATATCCAAAGGACTGTGCTAGAGGAAAGGTAACAAACCAGACCAGGGTGCCATCTTGTCAGAAAACAGAAACACTTGCAATGCTTCACGCACGTTGAAACATTTCCCCCTTTATTTTGTTTTTCAAATTACAAAAGATATGTATGTTGAAACAAGTAAAACAATACAAAGATATATAAATTAAACAACTGCTATTTTTCCCTTCCCTACCAAGATAACCAATGTTAACATCTTGGTGTATATCCATCCATACTTTTCTTTGTTCATATAAACATACATGCATATATACACATACAGGGTTTTAATTAAAAAAATAGATTTGTAAACATTATTCTGCAATTTGCCCTTTTCATTTAATATAGCACGAACATATCCACAAATTAGCGGAGTTTTAGCTCCTCACTCAAATAACTTAGTTACACATTTGAGATATCAATCTTTTTTTTTTTTTTCTTTTTGGGTTTCAATTTCCCTCTCTGGCTCCCTCAAACCAACCTATATCACCCGCCTCCCCCCAACCCAATGTATACTCTTCAATACTTTTCTCCATGCATATAAAATCATACACAAACATATATGCATATATGATACATGTTTATCACTCATAAACACCTAGAGGCATTTTGTCACTGATTTACAAAAACAGGGTCATATTTTACACACTTACTTGTACCTAGCTTTTTTCACTCAAGAAAACATTATGGAATTCTATTCAAGTCCACTTGCATGGTTTAGTTTGTCCACTTTAATGGCTATCTAAACTTGATATAGAATGGATATAATTCCTTCCCTTTTCCAATTTCCCTATTGGTAGGCATTTATTTGGATTCTAGTGTCTTACTGCCACTAGGAACAATTTTATAATAAATATCCATATTCATCTGTCCTTTATGTATTGGGGTTTTACTTCTAAGAGATTCCTCAAAGTGACATAAGTACTTTAAGTTATAATAGATGTTGCCACATTGATTTTTTTAAAGAGCTGTAATGATTTGTTTCCACCAGTGGTGTATAAGAACTTTTGTTGGGACAGCAAAAAGCAGTCCTGCTATTTTTTGTCAGTTTGATTGAATACAGTTATCTCATTATGACTTTAAATCTTTTAAAAATGTTTATTTTTGAAATAAGAGAGAGAGAGAGAGACAACACAAGTGGGGAAGAGGCAGAGAGAGAGAGGGAGCCACAGAATCCAAAGCAGGCTCCAGGTTCCGAGCTGTCAACACAGAGCCCAATGCAGGGCTCAAACTCATGAACCGCAAGATCATGACCTGAGCTGAAGTCAGATGCTTAACCCACTGAGCCATCCAGGCACCCCATCTCATTATGAGTTTAATCTGTATTCCCCAACAACCACTGAAGCTAAACATTTTTTTAATTTTTAAAAATGTTTTATATTTATTTATTTTTGAGAGACAGAGACAGAGCATAAGCAGGGAGGGGCAGAGAGAGAGGGAGACACAGAATCCAAAGCAGGCTCCAGGCTCTGAACTGTCAGCACAGACCCTCATGCAGGGCTCTAACTCACAAGCCACGAGATCATGACCTGAGCCAAAGTCATCCACTTAACCAACTGAGCCACCCAGGAGCCCCTGAAGCTAAACATTTTTTGATAGGCCCACCGGCCAGCTGGGTTTGCTGTGTTTTTATAATTGTCTATTCACATTTCTCTGCCATGTTTTGCCATTGAGTTATCTTTTTCCTGTCAATTTGAAAAGCACCTCTTTTCTGATTGGCTTTGCAAATATTTCACCCAAAAATATTGTGTATTGACTTTATTGAAGGCACCTTTTGCCATACAAAAGATTATGCTTTTATGTAATCAAATATTTTTTAATAGCCTTTAAGTATCTTGTGTTGGTAAAGTTAATCTTCCCAACTCCTAGATTGTACATGTAATCTTTCATTTCATTTTTTCTTCAAGAATTTTATTATTTAAACAATTTAAATCTTAAATCCACTGGGATTTTTTCATATGGTTTGGGCTGTTAGTCAAAGTTTACTTTCTTCCTGAGTAAAAGCCAACTGTACCAGAATTCTTTTTAAATAAACTATTCCTTTCGCCTATAGCTTTAAATTCCACCTTTTCCATATGCCTTCATATTGAGCTTTCTCATATACACTAAGGTATTTCAAGATTTTCTATTCTGATCCAATGCTGTGTTTATCTGTTCTTTTGCCAATACTTTGTTAATTTGTTTAAAGTGACTTCGTGTTATATTCTGACATCTGGTATGAAATTCTTTTTCATAGTTTTCTTGTCTAGATTGTTATGCATTTGTTCTTCCATATGGATTTTAAGGTCATTTAAGTAAAAAAAAAAAAAAATCACTGACATTTAGTGTAATTCCAAAAGAAGTGCATGTAAGTTATTAGATGTTTACAGAGAAAACTTTTAATTTCTATACTGTCTTATTAGAAAATCATCTTTTAACCCAAAACAATTACTGGTCTCTTCATTTATTGATATATTATCAAAACCTTTCCCCTTTTTTGTTTATGCCAATTATTTAATTTTGGTTTTTACTGTCTTCATTGGAAACTCCAACACAATATTTAGTAAAAATAGACAGCAGTGAATGCCCTTATCTAATGCCCTAATACTATTAAATTCTTAATTTTCAAAAAATGGTTTTCGCATAAATATGCTATTGGGTTTTGGTAAAGGAACTCCTAAGTCATTACTATATATTACAATTCAATTTATATTTTATTAGATTGGAAATGTTTGCAAATTCTATTAAATATTTTGTCAGCTTTTATTTATTTATTTTTTAAATGTTTTTTTATTTTATTTTATTTTTAGGAGAGGAGAGAGACACAGCGTGAGCAGGGGAGGGTCAGAGAGAGAGGGAGTCACAGACTGAAACAGGCTCCAGGCTCTGAGCTGGCAGTCAGCACAGAGCCCGACGCGGGGCTCGAACCCACGAACCTTGAGATCATGACCTAAGCGAAAGCCGGACGCTTAACCGACTAAGCCACCCAGGCGCCCCTTTGTCAGCTTTTAAACTGTTAATTTTATTGATTTATTTCCTATTACTGCATTGGTTCTGCATTCTTGGAATAATTCCTCCTTGGTCATTATAATATGTCATTCTTTAGGTATACTGCTGAATTCTATTTGGTATCATTTTAATTATAATTTTTGTTTCTAAATTCATGAGTAAGACTGGCCTGGAGTTTTCTTTTTTCAAACACCTTTATTTGGTTTTGGTGTTAAAACTTATTCTGACTTCATAAAACTGGAGAACATAGTCTATGAGCTGAAATACTTCAAATAACACTGGTATCACTCTTTAAAAGATGCAACTAATTATGAAATCATCTGGGCCCTGGAGCATTTTTCAATCCTAGATCTTTAATCACTTTTCCAAACTCTTCAGTGGTACTTTTTCTATCAAGTTTCTACTTCTTTTTTTTTTTTTTTTTTTTTTTATGTTTTATTTACTTCTAGGAGAGAGAGACAGCGTGAGCAGGGGAGGGTCAGAGAGAGAGGGAGTCACAGAATCTGAAACAGGCGCCAGGCTCTGAGCTGGCAGTCAGCACAGAGCCCGACGTGGGGCTCGAACCCACGAACCGCGAGATCATGACCTAGGTGAAATTCGGACGCTTAACCGACTAAGCCACCCAGGCGCCCCAAGTTTCTACTTCTTATTGCAATTTTCCTAACATATTTTGCAAGAAAAGCATTTATTTCCTCTTTTAAAAACAGGTTGATCTAGATTTGTATAAAGTATCTTTTATCATTCTTTTAATCATATCTTTATCTGTGATTTTTTTACACATTTTTATTTATTTTTTACAAATATTAATTTATTTATTTTTACACATTTTTATTTAAATTATAGTTAGTTAACGTACGGTGTAATATTAATTTCAAGTGTAGAATTTAGTGATTCATCACTTACATATAACACCAGTGCTCATGTGATTGTTTCCTTTCTCATTCTGGACCAGGCTTTCTTACAGGAGGCAATTCTTTTTTTTTTTTTTAAATTTCTGAGAGAGAGAGAAAGAGACAGCATGAGCAGGCGTGGGTCAGAGAGAGAGGGAGACACAGAATCTGAAACAGGCTCCAGGCTCTGAGCTGGCTGTCAGCACAGAGCCCGACGCGGGGCTCGAACCCATGAACTGTGAGATCATGACCTGAGCCGAAGTCGGATGCCCAACTGACTGAGCCACCCAGGCGCCCCACAGGAAGCAATTCTTGAATAGTGTGGCCATTTGTCTTACTTGGATGACATGGCCGGTCAAGGAAGTAGATTTTTTTTCCAAGATTGGAATGATGAAACAACTTGGGTTTTAGTGACCAGGATATTCACAGGGAAATTGATAGGGAAGAAAAGTGGATATTGCTGAATTAATTTGCAAAAAGGAAAAAAAAATACAGAAAAATTCTATCTTTGGTCTCTGGCAAGAAACATTTCTTAATTATAAGACTCATATAAACACTACATTCCTACTAATTTGCTGCAAGGCATATTAAGCAAGACTAATAAAATAGAAGTAGTGCACAATATACCATGGTCACACTACTTTTTGTCAAATAATGGCTGTGCTGAGTAATCAAGTTTATAGTATTTTGTTCATCCAATATTAGGTTGTGAAACTATTCCTTAGCTTTGCCTTTTCAACATTAACAAGTGTTCTTATTTTTTATATTGTTAAGACACTAAAAAACAATGGTGATATTTAGAGTGGAAAAGTTTGGTGAATGGCATTCTACATACTATGTGACAAATGTGCTTGACATTCACAAATTACATTAAATTCACATTTACATTTCCAAAATATAAATAATGCTTATTATGTGGCTCACTATGGAATATGCCATAATTTACCAATTCCTTCCACATATATTTTGCATTCTGTTGTCATTCCATTAGCATATTTTTAAACTTTCATAAGCCAGAGTGACCATGTTTATTTTTTATAAAGTGTTTTCTGTAATCTTTGTATAAAATTTCTATCATAATTAGAACATGACTTCCCTTATGGTAAAACATTTTGTCCAAATTCATTAAATCAATGAGACTTCTTCTGAAAATGAATGCCTCCACATACAATAAAATAGGATACCTTGCTTAAGGCTTTCCCACAATTATCAGATTTTAATTCCTATAGGCATTCTTTCTGGCATGAATTTTCTGATGTCTACTGAGATTTGGCTTCTGGTAGAAAGCTTTCCCACATTCACTGCATCCATAGGGTTTTTCTCCTGTATGAGTTCTCCAATGCTTATTGAGGCATGATTTTTGGCTGAAGGATTTTCCACATTCTCTACAACGATATGGTCTTTCTCCTGTGTGTATTTTTCGATGTACATTAAGGTATGACTTCTCACCAAATGACTTCCCACATTCACTGCACACAAAGGGTCTTTCTCCAGTATGTGTTCTTTGATGTTCTCTGCGGTGTGACTTCTGAGTGAAGGCTTTCCCACAAAAAAAACATTCAAAGGGTCTTACCCCAGTGTGAATTCGCTGGTGTTTAATAAGGGTTGACTTATGGGAAAAGGCTTTCCCACAGTCAGTGCATCCATATGGCTTCTCCCCAGTGTGACTTCTCTGATGCCTAATGAATTCAGACTTGTAGCAGAAGGCTTTCCCACACTCACTACAGACATGGGGTTTCTCTGTAGGTGGAACTCTTTTACGCTTGTACACAAGAGAATTGGTTACTGCTGGTTTATACATAAGTGCTGGGTTGTGGCTGAAAGCTCTTTCACAATGACTGCATTCCCAGAGTTTTTCTCCATTAGGTTTTCTATCATGGTTTGTATGCTGTAACAATTTCCCACATCCACAGCACTCCTCTTTTCTGGAATAGTTTCCCTTAAAACCAATGGAGTCTAAATTATGGTTCACACTTTTTCCATAGGCGTCCCAGTTATTGGGGTCTTGAACTAAAGGAAAAAGATTAGTGCTCAGAGGTGATATTTTCCCAAACTTACTGTCTTCATGGCTTCTTTCCTTGGGCAATGTTTTCTTGGTGATGAATGCCCCTTGTTTCAAAATCATGTCTTGCTGTCTTTTCCTCTGGACATTAACTTGACAAATGTTTTCTGGAGAAAATACAGCAAACCTTTATTCTGTTATTATGATCTGGAATAAAATTACTTGAAAAATGCCCTAAACATTTAAACAATACACAGCATATGAACAGGCACAGCATGAACCATAACTAAATGCGGAGAAGGGTGCTGTATGAGGAGATTCACAACTGGCACAAATGAAATGGAACATGTCATAGAGTATACAAAGTAATAATTTTGAGTAAGATGGAATATTATAGACCAGTGGTTGGCAGACATGTTCTTAAAGGGCCAGAGAGTAAATATCTTAGGCTTTGTGGGCCATATGGTCTCAGTCAAAATTATTCAACTTTCCCTCTGTATTTGGGGAACACAGACAGTATGTAAAGGTTAGGGCATGGCTGTGTTCCGGTAAGATTTTCTTCACAAAATTAGGTGGCCAAACTATAGGGTGTAGTTTGTCAATCTTGTTACTGAGGAAAGGAGTTTAAGTGTCATATGGCAGCTTGCTATTCAATGTGTGGCTCTTAAAAGAGGGAAAAGAAAGGCAGCTGATGCCCAGGTGACAATGTTTCAGGAAGGCTGATGAGCACAGTTTAATGAGGCAAAATACACCCCAGAGGGCGCTATTGTGTTGGTGTGGCAATTAAAAGTATTGGTTCTGAAATGTGACCATGAGTTCAAATCTCTGTTCGGTCCCTTACTTTGCTGTATGTTCTCAGATAAGTTTCCTAACTTTTCTGTGATTGCTTATTGCTTTATTTGTAAATAGAGTAAGAAAGGTTGGATACCTCACAGACATTGTAAGGGTTGAATGAGATGATATATGTAAAAGGCTGAGAACAGATCTGGCATACAGTGAGCACACACTGAGTGTTGGCCAGTAATTCTAATGCTGTTAACTGCTACTACTGCAACCAAGGTGGATGAAAGGTGGATGGTGGTCATTTCAGAGACATAATTTTGGAGATAAGCATGAAAATACCTTGAGTGTTATTTTCATAATGTAATATTTAATTCAATTATGTGATGACAACACCAAGTGTAAGTGGCATAAAGAGATGTGGGAACAGACAGCACTGACTCTTCTTACTAAGTTCATGACTCTTGTGGAGAAGTAGAAGTTCAGAGGCATCCTTAAGAGTAGGTTACCAACACCGGGGGTACCATGCATATTGTTGTGGTATTTTACAAAGCTGAGAGGAAAGGAGCACTTACTCTGAATGTTATAAGGAAGTGGTTAAGACAGGCCAAACCCAGTCATCTCCTTTACCACCCAGCTGTCTTTGGTTACCTTAAATTCAATACTTCCTCTTCTGCAACTTAAGGAAACTGAAGGACTAGGGGATAATTTAAAGGATTAGGGAAAGGCTGGGAAGTGAGCGTGTGGGTATGGCAGGCAGGTCTGAGGCATTTTACCTGGAAACTGGGAAAAGGGAATAGGAAGGTACCAGCAGGAGCGGGGGAATGACAGAAGTTTATTTGTGAGAAAGGCTGAATGTGATGGAGAAGGGATTGTGGAGAAAGGGAGATGGAGCAAGAGCACAGGAAGAGGTGAGATTTAAAGAAGGAAGGAACACCTGGATAAGGGAGGTGGGGTGCCTGGAGGTTGAAGGGACAACAAGAAGGCTAAAGCTCTCAGAGAAGTGTCTCTCCAGTGGCTTGCAAAGATCTAAGGCTTTTGAAAGCTGGACCTTGAGCAAAATCCCAAAGGTGCCAGCCTCCTCTAGTACTTCTTGCTGGATTTATCATACTTACTTTGACAGTGGCAGCCTGAGCACGCTGCCTCACAAATCCATGGTGCTTCTTCCTGCTCCAGCTTGAGGATCACATATGGTTTAGTGCCTTCATAACCTGTTCCAGGGAAATGATCCAGGCCTTGGGCTGAGCTCCTTGGTCTTCAGGGCCACTCAGGCAGCATTAAAGGCTGCACAACAGACATTGGACTTGGGAGAAGACTGTACACATACCTTGTCCAGAACCCAAAAGGAATTAGCAACCCAGGACCACTGAAAACTCAAGCCAAACTCACGGAGGCAGCACAGTACAAGGGCTAGAGATATAGACTGTGCAGCCAGACTGCTGGGATTCAAATCCTAGCCTGGCTCTATTATGTACTAGGTGAATAACACTGGACAAGTTACTTCATCTATCTGCCTCTGTTTCCAAATCTGTAAAATAGTGCTACAAATAGTACCTATCCCATGGGGCTCTTATGAGGATTAAGTAAGTTAATATTTTAAAAATGGCTAAAATAATGTCTGGCACATAGAAAGTACTTGGTACTTCAGAGGCTCTAGGTACTTCAGTTACTTTTAATAAAAGGAAAGGTGGTTAATCAAGCATAATCTATGTTTATGGCAGAGTTCTTCTTACCTACTGAAACAAGGTTGCTATAGGTCTCCAGCATCACATCCCGGTACAGTGCCCTCTGAGCAGGATTCAGCCTGTGCCACTCCTCTTGAGTGAAGCCCACGACCACGTCTTTGAATGACACAGGTCTCTGCTGAAGATGAAATGGCATTGAGTCATGTGGGAAAAATGTACCCAGGGGTAGATGGAATGGAATTTTCATGTTCCTAGGCCAGAGATTCTCATGATCATTTACCTACCTAGGATACCTTTTACATTTCTGGCTTTGGGCTATATATAGTAGGAAAAGTAACTATCCCACTGGATCCCACTGCCACATACACTTTGAGTCAGCATATATTGACTGAAGACCTGCTGTGTATAACCCAGTGCTGGTTGTTGGAAACACAATCATGGATGGTTCCTGACCTCAAGGATCTGATAGCCCAGCAATATGTAAGGCCATCAGGGTGAAAGTATAAGAGCTACGATGGCAAGACATCTAGGTTAGAGCATGTAGAAAAGTGTGAATGGTCCATTAAATGCTTCAAGGGCTAGTAAGGCTTCAGAGCTAGGGGATATATGTTGCTGAGACTCCTCTACAGAAAGATGGAGAAACTACAATCCTTGCAGAGAGAGCAGCATGGACACCGGCATGGGGATGGAACAGTGATTTTAAAGGCTACCAGGCACTCAGTAGCAGGAGGAGCATAGAGGGGCCTGTGAGTGATGAGATAAGGGACTTTAAGACAATGGAACTATCAAGGAATAGGTGTATATAGAAAGCACATGGTACAACTGTATATGGAAGGCATGATGTACCACTGCACATCAAGTGGTGGTACAGCAGTAACTCTAAGCAGACTGGAAAGTTAAGGATATATATTGAATTCCTAAAGTAACCACTAAAGTCATAGTGCAAAGAGGTATACTGAAGTAAAGGAATTTCAAAAAATATTTAATCTACACAAACACACACATAACAGAAAAGAAATAAAGGAACAAAAGCGGATGGGACAAACAGACAAATAAATACTAAAAGGACAGATACAAATCCAACCACACCAATAATTATATTAAATGACACTAAATTATAATACAAATTAATATATGACTGAACACTCCAAAAGGCAGAGATTGTTAGGCTGGATAAAAAAGCTGCCTGAAGAGGTACAGAACTCACAGATAATTTGAAAGTGAATGAATAGAAATGTGGTGGGGGACCTTGAGGGAAGTGAAAAGAAAGACCATAATAATGCAGGTGGAAGATGATGTCACAAGTAGCACAGTAAGACACAGTGAGACAGAGAAAAGAAGAGTACAGAACCTGCACCTTAACTGGTTGTGGGGAATGAGTGAAAAGGGGTAAGGGTAACAGCAATGTGTCTCAAAGCCAACTAGGTGATGATGGTGGTAAATCAGAAGTGGAAAAAAAACAGCAGAAGCAAAGAGGATGTGTTATTAGACGTGTCTGGGGACACATGGGTGGAGACGCTTAGCAGGCAGTGGGATGGACATAGGAGTCTTGTAGCAGAAGCTAGATCAGGAAGGGAACTAAAGCTCTGTGAGCCATCAGCAGAGAAGTGGTAGCTAAGGTTGTCAGTGAGGGATCTCTCTGCAGGGAGACAGGATGAGAAAAGTGCCCAGGCCAGAGCCCCAAGGGACACTAAAGAGTTCAGCTGGAGACCCAAAGAAGGACCCACAGATACTAACCTAAAGAGGTCACCTGTGATATTATGATATATTAAAAAAATATATATTTAAGGTTTTCCTTCATGGTTCCTGGAACAGAGCTTCTTAAACCCTTGTAACTTCCTTAGTAATAGGGGTAAAGGAGTATCTTATGTTATTCATAACAGGCCCCAGTCAAGGATACATGAGTTTGTGCTAATGACACAGAGGATGGGGGCTGGTTGCCAGAGGAACTAGCCATATGATTAGAGGGTTGGAACTTTCAGTCCCCTTTTCCACCCCCTACTTCTAGGTGGGGGTGGGGGTGAGTGGGCAGTACTAGAGACTGAGCTGATACCCAATCCATGATTTAAGCAATGATGGAAATCCCATGAAAACTCTGGGGGACTTCTAGGTTGGTGAACACATCTGGGAACCCCAACCTCCGCAGACAGAAGTTCATATGCTCAGGACCATTCTGTACCTTGTCATCTGGCTTTTCATTTGCACCCATTATAAAAAAACCTGTAATAGTAACTAAAGTGTTTCCCAGAGTTCTGTGAGTCATAGCAAATTATCAAAACTAAGGAAGGGGTCATGGGAACCCCCGATTTACAGCTAGTTGGTCAGAAGTTCAGGTGACAACCTGGGATGCAATTAGCATCGGGGGGTGGGAGCAGTCTTGTGAGACTGAGACCCTAACTTGTAGGGTCTGTGCTAACACCGAGTTGAATTAAATCATAGGAAACCTAGTTGGTGTCCACAGAGAATTGGAGAACTGTTTGGTGTAAGAAAAAGTAATCCTCTATTGCTGTGAGTAGAGGAAACTACCTATGATATATCTTCAAGTGACTGTAAAGAATGAACTTTGCCCAAAGAGAGGTCTGATCATTGCACTCAGCTCCTGGGAGTTAATCTCTAAGCCCCTGGAATGTTCTGCTAGATTAAGACTGTCTTTGTTTACCTGGAGGCTCTGGACCACATGAGACAGTCTAACAATGTGATTTCTAGATGGAGCTTTGGGTCACAGACATCAGCTCAACCTCAGGAGGTGGCTGTACATCTCGCTGAAAAATGTGGGGTCCTACAGTCGCACCTGAGCAGTGGCCCAAGCAGATGAGCTGGAAGGCAGGACCAAAACCAGGGTGAAGCCATGGATGCTGGCACATGAGACCCTAAGATTCATACAAAGGCCATGTACACAGCAGGTAACAACCAGATAGCCTCTCTGATGCCAGAATGACATACCATGATAGAGGGAGAGTAGCAATCAGGCTTTTATCAGAGCACGGAGCCTGGCTCAGTTGACAGCTCTGGGTCAATATTTCCCAAACAGAGCTAATTGGAATGGGAATGAGATGGGATGGGATGGAATACAACAGAACAAAATAGATGTAATTTGGCACCCAAAAGGCCATGTCATTTTCACCAAACACAGGAAGTAACCTTAAGGTGTAAAATTAGCATGACTTAGTGACTGAGTGTGAGAGGGGGAAGGTGGGGAGAAGTCAAGGATAATCTTAGGGTCCTGGTTTGCCTGGTGGGATGGTACCATATCCTGAGGTGGGAAACTGGGGCACAAAGAGGTTCAGAGACTTGTGCAAGGTCATGCAGATGGTAAGGACTGGGATTCAAATTCAGCAGTCTGGTTCCAAAGTCTGTGCTCTTACCCAGTATACAGTGCTGCCTTCCACACAGAAGGGGGCAAAAGATGCAATCTAATTTAGCAGAACAATCAAAAAGCATCTTCTGATTTCAGCCTCAGCAACATCACCTGGGATCTTGGCCAGAAAAGTTTTAGTAAGGCGGGAAGAAAGGATGCTGGACTCAAGAAAGAATAAGAAACACGGGGCTCCTAGGGGGCTCAGTCAATTGACTCTTGATTTTGGCTAAGGTCACGATCCCAGGGTCATGGGATTGAGCCCCAGGTTGGGCTCCATGCTCAGTGTGGAGCCTGCTTAGGATTCTCTCCCTGACCCTCTCCCCCTCTCACACACACTCTCTCTAAAAAATACAAATTAATTAAAAAAAAAAAAACAAGAAAGAATAAGAAAAGCATATGGAAACACCAAGAGAAGGAAATCACTACAGGAGATGAAGGAGGCCAGAGGAGAAAGGAAAGGACTTTGTGGTTTGGAAGTGGTGATAGTTTTTAGGGTTGGAGATACTGACAGTGGTTGTAGGGACAGGGGAAAGATCTGGGAAAGGGGAAAGGATGAGTCTCCAGAAAGAGATATCCCTGCTGGAGGGAGGCCTCCAAAGAGGTGGAAATGCAGGAACTCTAGGGCTGAGTGGGTCTTGTCAGGACACAGGGCCCTTCACTGTCTAGAGATGGTGAGGAAGGGTAAGGGGAGCTGGGAACACTTCACACTGAGACTTGCGGGGGAATAAGATGTTCAACTGTCTGCTGCCAAACTAGTAAAGACGGTTAAGGGAATGAATTTAAACAATGGAGAGCTCATCTGTTCCCCAGTCTAGATCAAGGCTATAAATACCTTGGATCAAAACCAGGACTTCCATTAACACCAGGAGGAACCTTCCTGCCTGCCCCCTCTGAAAAGAAATATTATTTGTATTTTCAATTTCTCTAACTGAAATTTAGCATTTTATTACATTACATATATGGGCTGCAAAGCACAGAGGAGTTAAAACTTCCTGCAACCCTGGGGCACCTGGGTGGCTCAATTGGTCGAGCATCTGATTCTTGATTTTGGCTCAGGTCATGATCCCATGGTGCGTAGGCTAGAGTTGCACATCTGGTTCTGTGCTGACAGCGTGTAGCCTTTTTGGGATTCCCTCTCTGTCCCTCCCCCACGTGTGCATAAGTACATGCTCTTTCAAAAAATAAATTTTAAAAACTTAAAAAGGCTGTGGTCCTAGGTACTAATATGTACAATCTCTAGCATTTTAACTGGGGGAAAAAAGGGGGTAGAGAAGTATGTGTAAGTGTCTTGCCACTGAATCTACATGTAGAGAGAAAAACTGGTTTTCCACCCGAATCCTCCTGAAGGACCAAGTATTTCTCTCAAGTGCTAGGAGAAGACTGGCTGCTGCAGACTTAAGACCTTTTACAACTGCATTTGGTCAAAGGGAGGTACCCCACCCAAGCTTAAGCCCCTCCCCCCCCCATGGGGCAGATGACCAATGACTGGTTGATTTCAGAATATAAAGGCCTCTTTGCCTCCATTCAGGACAATGTGGAGGCCATCCCAGTTTTAAAGCATCTTGTAAGATCAGCTGGTGCTCTGTTTAACTCCCTCTGCCTAATCCTGCTTCCTTCACTCCTTACAGGTGTTCCAAGAGTCTCCCTACTAAACCTCATGTGTGCAAACCTCCATCTCTAAGTCTGTTTTCTAAGAACCCAACCTGTGACAGTATATATGCTTGAAATGCACATATTTTTTCTACAAGTTTCCCAAGAAGGGAAACTAGGTTACTTAAATGTCACACTTACCTGGCACTCAATCATTTTCTGCTGTTCTTGGAAAAAGATTTGAATCCTGTGAAGATAGAGACTGGCGGAGGGGAGCGGGGGGGAAGGAGGAGAAAGAAAAGAACAGAGCTGTGAGGGACCAGGCCCATCCTGGAAATTGCAAAGTCCCTATGTAAACCTTGTACAAAAACCTATGCTTTAAATCACTGTGGTAGAAGAAAAAATATGGGGCTATTCAATTCAGAATGTGAATACATAAAACAGACCCCCCCCCCCGAAGTAAAAGCTACTATCAAGTAAGAACTTAAAATTTATTTAAGAACAAATCCTTAAAACTTAAATAACTGGCCCCATGTGAGATGGAGCCACATTCATGCTCTAAATAGGATCACCTCTGCAGAAGGACAATACGTTTTCTCTTAAAGGCAAAATGCTTGGGTTTTACCTCTTATTTGCTTTTAAAGTTGCATTTGTTCACCTACTAGTGTTTATGAAATCCTATATTTGAGATGCTTTTTCTATAACAATGTTATTTTTTTGAAGTATATACTGAAAAAAGGCTTTTGTAACTTATTACAAAGAACTCAAAGCAAAATAAAATAACTGTGTAACATTAGTAAAACTAATAGTTACTTAAACTATGGCAGAAATGATTACTAAAGGCTAAACCTTGTTATTTATCCAGAATATTATTAAGTGTTGTCGTTAAAAAATAATTTTCAACAAATGAGAACAAACAACTGTTACTTTTTAAAAAATTTATTTATTTTGAGAGAGAGAAAGACTGTAAGCAGGGAAAGGGCAGAGAGAGAGAGAGACAGAATCCCAAGCAGGCTCCGCGATGTCAGTGCAAAGCCCAATGTGAGGCCTGAACTCACAAACTGTGAGATCACGACCTGAACGGAGATCAAGAGTCAGACGCTTTACCGACTGAGCCATCCAGGCGCCCCAACAACTGTTACTTTTAATTAAGATGTTTAAGTAAAGAGATAACTATGGGGGTTAAATTATAAAAGAAAAAGGGTAAGTCATAATTTAAGAGTGTAAATATTTTATGGTGTACTTGAATGCTTAATGTTAAAATTATCAATGGGATAACTCCTGATTTTAAAAATGGTATCTTTTGTGGCTGTTCTCACAGTAACTTGGGGTGGTGTCATCCTAACTAGAAAAATCTGCTAGTACCCAGATTCTGATCTCTTCCACAAAGGTCACCAAAAAGGAACCAGAGCTCCTTGGAAAATGGCTGAGTCCACATCTGGAGCACAGAACACAACATGCACCTCTGTAATCTTGAGTGCCAGAAAGCAAAGACACTTCTTCAGTGATGAGTCCTGGAGCCAGACTCAAAGGTTCTAACGACGTGAGGAGGAGTGCTAAGGGCAAACTGGCCATATCCACTAAAAGCTTCCAATTAGTTTAGTGATTAGCAGAAGACACTAGTTTCAAGGGGAAAAAATTCTTTCAAAATGAATACATTCTCCTGGCTTTGTTTTACACAAGTATCTTCTCACTAATCTGTTGACAAATCATCTTTCGAAAAAGGAAAATAATTTTAAAGTGCTGGAAATATTCTCTGTCATAATCTGGGTCATAAGTACATGAGGGTACGCATGGAAAAATTCTTAACATAGAGTGCTAAATGAGTTAATGATTTACTTTTCTCTTAGTGGACAATAAATATCCACTCTCTCTTAATTGTACCAAAATGCTTTGAAATATTGTACAGGTCAGACAGTACAAGTCATACAGCACAGTTAGTGTGAAAGAGGCATTTAGCTATCAGATCAGTAATAGAAGGACTGGGCAGTGAGCTTATTATGCTTTTTGAAATATTTTTTTCTTTACTGAGGTATCATTTACATATAATAAATGATTCCATTTTAATTGTATAGTTCAGTGAGTTTTGACAAATATATTCACCCACATAACCACCACATTATCAGGATATGGAACATTTCCAGGAACATCCTGTTCACAAGCTAGAATAATGAATTTGTCTTAATGATGCTAAGATTAACTACTTAGATTCCTATCTCTTCTATAGAATAAAAAAGGTGATTTCCTTGGATGTTAAATAAAATATATATCTACTAAAAGCTTCCAATTAGTTTAGTGATTAGCAGAAGACACTAGTCTTTGCTTACATAATACATTAAACAAGTTATACCAGTAAGTCAAAAAAGTAGTTTTAAGAAAGTGTAAGATCTATTGTTTGAATTTCATTTATATGAAGGTCAGAAACTGGCAACCCTAACCTATGTGACAGTTTTGACTAGGCACTGCTTGGGAGGGGTGGGGGAAACCTTTGGGGTGCTGGAAATGTTCCCTGTTATGATCTGGGTTAGGGGTACATGAGTGTGCACATATGGAACGATTCATTAAGCTACATGCTGTTCTCTATGCACATTACATCTCAAGTTAAAAAAAAAAAAAACACAACCTCATTATTTTAAAAATATACGTGTAGAAAAACTTTTGGTATGAAATACAATAAAATGTTATTTGTGTTTCAATTTGGTCTGCAGGATGTTTCTTATTCTAATCTGTAAGTGATACACACACAGATACGTACTTCATTATTTACATACTAATGTTCCACTGCTTTTTTCATCATGATGGAAGCCACAGGAGGGCTTTGAAAGTGGGAGGAGGTTCCCTGAGAGAACTGAACTGTCCACTAGGGACCAAGCTGGAAGGAAAGGCCTAAGGCCCAGCAAACTGGGGCAGTTAATCCAGAATTGGAGAACTACTCGATCCTCTAAAAGAATACACTCTCTCCCTCCCCCTTCTCGATTGAGCTACTCAGCTTTGGCCTGGTCTCCACAGCTGCAAAGTTCCAGCTGAGTGGTGGTGTGGCAAACCTGTTGGCGAATGGGTATCTGGAGGCCTGTGCTCTGTGGCCTGGGAAAGTCACTTCCTTCACCTTTAAATGAGATGGCAGCATCAGTGGATAACAAAAACCATTGGCAAAAGCTTGGTGAAAAACAGGGTGTTTCTATAGTATCTAAATATCTGCCCCCAAGATATTTATTAATTATAAAATGAGGGGGCGCCTGGCTGGCTCAGTCAGTTAAGTATCTGGCTCTTGATTTCGGCTCAGGTCATTGATCTCATGATGCGTGAGTTTGATATTCCATGCTTTTAGCACGGAGCCTGCTTTGATTCTCTCTCTCTCCCTGGCCCTGTCTCTCTCTGCCTTTCCCTGGGTCATGCTCTCTTTCTCTCAAAATAAAAATAAAATGAACTTAAAACAATAGCAAGTTTGCCTTGGAGAAACCTGGCAGATATCACCTTAACCTTGTGACATTAACAAGTGATGAGACATAATATCATGCGCCCCCTGATATGAGGCACTGTGACGGGCACAACATCGCTTCTGTGATATTCTGCCCAAAATGCATACTTGAATCTAATCATGAAGAAACAGATGAAATCATATTGAGTGACACTAATGCAAAATCGCTGACCAATGCTCCTCAAAAATGTTGACACTTCATGAAAGACAAAGACTGAGGGACTGATCCCAATTAAAGGAGACCGAAGGGATGTGTCGACTAAAGGTAGCATGTGATCCTGAACTGGATTCCGGAATGAAAAAAGAAATGCTGCCATGAAGTGACATTATTGGTTCACATCTGAATATGGACTGTGGATTAGATAATGGTATTAAATCAGTGTTAACTGCCTGATTTTGAAAACTGCTGGTTTTATAAGAAAAAAGTTCTCATTCTTAGGAAATGCACACTGGGAGGACCATGTCTGTAACATACTCTTAAAAACTTGAGGAAAAAACATAAAAGTAATAAAGATTTATAATATTATATTTAGAGAGAGAGGATGAGATTGTAAACATTTATCGAGGTGAACTTAGATGAAGAATACATAAAAGCTGACAGTACTATTCCTGCAAATTTTCCAAATAAAGTTTTATTTAAAAGAAATCTATAGCTATAGTAGATCTGCTGCCACCACAACTCTGAGAACCCAGGGATTTTTCTGCCCCTTGTCAGGATGGAGTGAATGCCCCATATTCCCAGAGGCCAGGTAAGGTGGCAAAAATGACAAGGGAGCAACCTAGAGTCCAGAAAGTACCAGTAAGAGTAAGGGAGTGGGTTGGCCACATCCCATACTACAAGATGCAGAATGCACCGTGTTGGACCGAGGTCTCCTTCCCTTGAGAGAACATACCTATCACACTTGGCCTTCCCTGCTTTTCCCTCCACTTCTGTTTCTCTGAATCTTGGACCCAACCCTTTCTCTACCATGAGCCATGGAGGGTCTCTGGAAGGAATGACACCAAGTTGAGTCTTGCTCAGCTTCTGGCTCAGGGATGATGCTATTTCCTGCTACTTAGGAGTCTTTGCTCTGGAAAGAGGTCTCGGACCCTAGGTTCCTCCTTCAGAAGAGATTCTTTTCCCAAGTTCCCCTCTCTGGATCCAGAGGGTCTTCTAGCCGGCCTGCCAGTCCCTCACAGCTCCATCTCTCAGAGTAACTCACCCTCAGCTGTAGCCCCAGCCAGAGCCTTCTGTAGACTTGGCCAAGGTCCTGTGGAGCCCTGCTGTCAGCGAGGTGGTGGGACCCACAGGTGTACAGGGAACTCACGTTACCTGAAGATAAAAAGACCTCAAGGTAAGAGTCATCCAACAGTCCCTCCCCAATACTCTCTGAGGCTCAGTAGAAAGAAGCCTGCAGAGGACTATGCAGGAGACATAGCTTAGTAATGGCTTTGCTTTGGGTGTAGGGCAGAGGGAACTTCTGGAAAGACTGAATTTTGGAATCATTCAGACAGAAGATTGAACCAAGCAATTCCTCTAACTGACTAGGGGGAGTCTAGGCCAAACAATTTACCTGCCTAGGGCTCAGTTTCTTTATCTGTGAAAACATGAATGATAAATAATAAAAATAATTTTTATTTTAATGTTTATGTTTGAAAGAGAGAGAACATGAGCAGAGGAGGGGCAGAGAGAGAGAGAGACAGACACAGAATCTGAAGCACGCTCCAGCTCTGAGATGCCAGCATAGAGCCAGACATAGGGCTTGAACTCATGTACTGTAAGAAGTCAAACGCTTAGCCAACTG